CACAATGTGACAAAAGTAAAGTGAATATCTGGAGGATTGGCAAAATCGGAGGAAGGGAGAGAAACAACAATCACCCGCTGTTGAAAGTTCTGCGTGTCTTACTTTTGGAACAAGATGTTCAATACTCCGCTTGAACGTACTCAAATGCAAAATTCAGTATAATAATTAGCATATTGACATTTAGTACTATTTTACATAGGAAATAATAAATAACCCAAAGATATTTCGAAACGTTCCTTAAAATTAGGAGGGCGTTATGTACACAAAGAAGAAAGAAGTAAAAGGAAAAAAAGAACAGGAACAATAAAACATGGGCGAACATGACCCCCCCGGGTGTAATTTCACCCACAGTAGCGCGATCGCGCCATCCGGATCGCGCGATCACAGCGATCGCGCGATCGCGAAATTTGAACGCGCTCTAAGAGCAGGACTGCACTACGCTGTACATCATGATTGGACATTTCTGCGTTTTAGCAGTTGTGCGGTGCAGTTGCACATGCCGCATATTCACGACGCATAATCCAGCCGTCTGCTGCCCTCTTACTTCCCCATGCTCTCCACTCCTGTACGCTGCTGTACGCTAGAAAACGCTGGAGTTCGTTGATCGATATCCATAGTTCCGGTTGCTGGTGGACGTCACCGCAATGCATGAACGCAGCCTTCACCGTCCCATTAAATTTGTCGTCTCCTTACCCAGGAATGTACCAAATAGGCATCACGCGTACTGCTCTAAGAGTAATATCACAGCCAAAAAGTTACGTCAGATTGCTATAGTAACCCTAAACCCTAAAGTTCTGTCAGCAACCATTTTCCCCTATGATTCCCCCCTAATACACCCACTAACTCAACTATTCTGCGGACGTCACATATACAACAAGTTGGAGGTTTTTATTACATAACGAGAAGTAGAAAGCTCACTTAGCTCGAGTGAAAAGCTTAGCTTGAAAGCTCGGAAAGCGGCCCAAAGACGCTCCAACCAGCGCTGGCTCGACACGCTGCATGCGCACTTGAAGATAGCTGGCGCTCATTTCCATCAAGCATTCAATAGGGACGGGTTGCCTCACAAGCCCAAAAGAGGAACACGCTAGATTGCAGACGTCGACGAAGAAGAAGGAGATGATGATGATCAATACGGAGGTAGGAATGATGATCGCTTGAAAACATTTCAATATTTCGTGACTTCTCACGGTTTTTAGCTGTTCCAACTTTCAACCCAGTTTCTAAAAGGTTTTCTATCAATAATTAATCTGAGAAAAACAGCTCTCAAGCACTTGCGTGTTGTTCACAAGAGTTGTACATTCGTACTGTTTTGGCTGCAAACTTCAGGGAAGAGCGCATATGATAGCAAACAGATAAACAGATACTATAGAGCAGCTTTCAGACAGAATGTGCAATGGCTGCTCAAATACAAACGTATTTGATAGACGAGATAACCAAATTGTCCTAGTTTACCGAAAATATGACGTTGTGACATGTATGGGCATGTCGCTGCGACAAGGACACGAACGAGAGGCCTCAGTTCAATATCGGAAACAAAACTGGCGAATCTATCATAGTGACTGGGCTCGAGCGCGAAAGCCATTGCAAAAATGGAGCGGCCCGTACGATACAAGACCAGTGAGAACTTCAAGAAGATTACCAACATCATCAGGAATTTCTCGAAATAACAGCAGAATTCATTTATACAATAAAGACTTAACACGTTGCTCAACTTCAGTCCTCAACAATACGGACATGCGGATCGCCAGTGGACACCCACACTCAATGCAAACTCCTGTCTCCATTGCTCAATGAAAGCGCCAGTCTGCCGACAAGACGCATATGACAAACCCTTGACGCGTTTTAAGTTCGCTGCGACAAATTACCTGACCCGAGGTGATTGTGTTGCGTACAATTGATTGGTTCCGCTTCGCCCCTTCGTTTTCTTTAACTCAGAGCTGTAAGCTTCATATGGCGGCTGAAATTGTCGTGCGACATTTATGACTACTCAGAACAACCACCATGTTCATTCACAATTTCTCGGATGTCGGACTATTCTACTCTTTCTTTGCCTTCAGAGCGAGCTGTGTAACCTTAACCCTATGACTACGTTTTGCGCGGCAGTACCTTCACATGATCCGAGGCGAGCCACTAAGGTGTTTACGTGGAAGTCGTGGTTTCTGGGTTCCTCCTTAATGTGTTCTATAACATATTTTATGCGAGTGCCATTGAACTGCATCGAGTGGTTACAGCTACTCATTTCTTAAAACCCATGTTTGAAGGCTAATATCTACCGTTTCGCGTAATTAATAGTCCGAAAGAACGGGAAGTATACCCTAGTTCGCTGCGGACGGTTGGGCGTGTCGGCCAGTATGAGTGTGTCACGCCGTCGAAGCCGTTCTCTGCCTTCTTGTTGAAGCGCGCATGCGGCAGAAAGTAGTAGAAATCGAGTAGTACGAGCGTTATGGTACAGTCTTACGGCTTGCTCGCTTTAACAACTGAAGAACGAGAAAGGGTTTGGCACCGCGCCAAAGTCATCCCGCCCGACACGCCCAACCGTCCGCAGCAAACTACGCTATAAGCCTTCAGTAAGGCGCAGTGGAGCATTTGGTTTAATAGTACCTCGCTTGAGGTAATCACACTTTTGCACAAAGCTTTTTGAAGCGTTGTTCATTGCTTTCGTGTCATTTCCGATTTGGTTATATGTTGAACGACATCCATTGCAAGAAGGTGCGAATAAACGGGTGTGAGCCAAGGGGGGGAAGGGCGAGGATCTTTGCCGAAGCCCAAGAAAGAAAGATACTCCGGGGTGGTGGATCACTGATTATTGCAACCACGATTACTTTCACTCTGCAATACAGCGGCTTACAAGCGGAATTATGCGTACATAGTGTTGCCCTGGAGCGTCGTAGGGTGATTTCCTGTGTTATTGCCGGGAATTTCTGCACGTCGAATCCTATTGGTTGGGTTTGCTGACAAACTCTTCTAAAGCGCGTACTGCCAAATTTCTCTGTTCAAAGTGTTCCCAAGTTTTTTTTTCGCTCCTTTCTCTACTGAGGAGTTACTTGTGGGCTAGTGGCTCATTGAGCCCCTACTACCCGTAACACTTGATCGCGGGAATTGTCTTTAACCTTGCAATTTACGCTATTTGACTCTCTTTCATCAAGACTAGCACAGAGTAACCTGTATAGCATGTATGATTCGTAACATCACGTAAAAGTAACATAGCAATGTTGCTGGTTGTGGATGATGCATACTAAACATCGCTGCCCGATGCAGATTATATCATTGTGTAAGATGTGTAAAACACATAAGAAGTGGTATGTGGACATGAAAGATGGCGCACAGTGCGATTTGATTTTGCAAGAAGCCGCGAAGAGAAAAAAAAAGATATGATGCATTGCAACTGAGGTCTAGCAATACCAATGAGCGCCATCTCCTTGATATTCTGTGATGTCTGCTCATCCCAGCAATGTGTTTAGAATGAGTCAATGAAATGTCATTTCAGCGAGTGGTTCATCCACTCGTAACAAATTCACTTTTGACTCTTTCCACTGATTGTTGTCGAGTAGATACAATGTGAAGGGCGCATAAGACTCTGAAGATCCGAACCTTTTCTGTCGCTAAGTAGCCGTTGGGGGAGGGAGTACCACTCAGCAGCGTTGCTGTGTCCTTTTTCCCAGCCAAAGCGTAGGTCTAGAGCATAGAAAGGCAGGGTCGTCGAAAGGTAGTTTCGCAGAAAAGGTTGCATTCGTTTGCACAGCATGTCGAGCTAATGCCAGCATTTTTTTGCGTTTGGAACCCCTAGAAGAGCATAGATAGATTGCTTGCAGACTTCGCGATCGCACGCCTACGACCGGGCGCTCCACCGTCAAGCGGGGGGGGGGAGAGACGGGCAAGAGAATCGTAATTTGCCGCTCCACCGCGCGCGGCGATGGGCGCAGCGTTTTCTTAACGCGTGTTAACTTGTCGATTGGAGCACCGGACTTCATATACCCCTTCATCGTATATCTTCATGATTATTTTCGGTTGTGAATTGCCTGTTGTCGCCATCTACGACCTGGACCCATCGACGTGGCACGCCACGCCCAACAGCGCGGCGAATCACGATTCTCTTGTCACATACCCGTCAAGCGGTGCGCCGCAGCAATGTTCGAATTGGGACACATTCACACAGTGCTAATGAATTGCGCCGTTCCAGCGGTGCACCGTTTGGTGGTGGAGCTCCCCGGTCGTAATCGCGCGATCCAATAGAGCGATCCATTCAAGCGATCCGATGGGGCGATTATGAAGTCTGAACGCAGTCATATCGATCAAGCGTACGGCAGCGTTTCAAGCAATTAGGGAATTACGGACAACACTCGAGCGACTGCCCGCCAAAGCTCAAACTGATTGGGGAAACGCGCGGAAGGACAGATGGATACATCTGTTTTCCTAGTCGCTCAAAACGGTGCCGCACCTTCAAGAAACTGCTGCCTGCACGCTAAAAACGCTGACGCAAAAGTAGAACGCAGTCAAAGACATGATTTCCATTGAACTTATGATATGGTTGGGGAAGGGAGACAGAGGCGCTGCCGTTTGGTCTACTTTATTGAGTAGTTATTGCATTCGCTTTTTTAACAGGGTGTAACGTTGCTTGATTCAGGGGAGGTGCCGAGGATAGAGAGAGAGAAAAGGCGCGTCATATATCCCCAGCGAGGGAATTGCATTTCGTGGTAATTCTCCGGAAAACCTAGAAAAGTGGTAGAGAAGTGAGAATTCAGAGAGATAGCAGGTAAGATGGGGAAGCGGGGTCATATAAGTTGAAGGAGTTGTGACGAAGGGTTGTATTTTGCAAAATTTCTCCCCAGCGGCAGGTCGTGCCCCGGCAGAAAAGTCTACTGACTTCCTTTCTTCCTGATTGATTGATTGATTGATACGTTGTTATGATGAGCATATCACATCGTGCTCAGAATTGTGATTTTCAAATGAAACGGGAGAACGGAAAATCAACCGTGGAAAAAACCTTGAATTCACTAAAAATGTTTTACAGTTTCACGATGGACGTTCCGTCGACCTCAGCACCAGCAGCGCAAACTGAATTACCGCCAATGGCGCAAAACGAGGATATGAAGAAGATGGTGCAAGGACTAAAGGATCTAATGTCGTCACGGCGACCCCCTGTCAGTCGCGATATCCTCAAGATCAAGATGGAATATCTCGGCGAGAAGCGGTGCATTGAGATGGATCGTCCAGTGTCTATGAAGGCATTGCAAGATCATTTACAGCGACGTTACGGCAAAGCGATCAACATGTACTATCAACAAGGAAAAGGTGAAGTGGTTGTGTCCATAAAGAATCAAGACGAGTTGGACAGAGCTATTAAGGTGATAATTCAATTTTTTTTACATTTTTTTGAGATGATTACGTTTGAAATTGTTCGCGGTGCGAGCGATCGCGGGAGACGGTCAAGACAGTCGTGATTTGTCGTCTCGCCGAGCGCGGCGACGGGCGCAATGTGTTCATAATGTTCGTTAGCCTACCGAATGGACAACTCAGTTCTGTATAGACCGCCACTCCGTAGATATTTATGGCTATTTTCGCTATGCATACAATGCATTAGCCATAATAGGTCGCAGATTCCATACATAATTTGCCATAATTATTTTTGGAATCTGCGACCTCAAAACCTCGTCCTTTGCAGACGCGGCGTCGCACGCGGCCCCTACGGTTGCGGCAAATTACGGTTTTCTTTTCATACCCCTCTTTTTCGTCGTGGCATGTTCTGCTGACCACGAGTTGGAAAACGTCTACAAAGGAGCTTGGCTTCACCGCACCCTTTTTACTAGGCACATTATTCAAAACCACACTCGAATTGTTACTCGAAATCTAAATGATGATTTTTCATGTGGTGGATCGTACTGGCCAACGCTGTCTTCGATTACTCCTCTCTAAACATCAGCAGCTGTCAACAGGTGTGGCAGAATCTCATCCTGATCCCTCAGGGACTTACACAGGCAACATTGTTGAAGTATGCGTTTGTTTCCCCTTGACGTAGGCACTGTTTTGGCAAAAAATACGAACTGGTTAGCTAATGAGTCATCACTGGACGACCAGTGTTGATATTCGATTCTTCCATATTTAGGTTCCTTACTCCACCAATTGTTCATCGTGTGGCGCGAGTCGGGTGTCATTCGCCAAGAGCGCTGGGGACTCTTCTTGTTCCAGTGGTGTACAATGGGACATTGACGAAAGGAAGCTCAGCGCGCAGTCGCCTCGAGCCCCTACCCATTGGAAGGAAGCAAAGTTTGTCAATATAACAACTCCTATCTAAGTAATTTTACGCATTCTTCTAAGCTTTGGGAGGTTGCGCTTATAGCTTGCGTAATCGGCGAATATACAAATCGAAACAACGGGCGAGTCGCGAGAACGCACTCAGAGAAATACATGTATTGTTCTGTCCATGGGCACGCATCCTTCCAGTTTGCGCATTTCTCTCACCTGGGGATATCCAAATAGATTCTCATACTTTCCTTTGCGTACACTTTCCCAAATCGCGCAGTTTGTACATTCGCAAAATATGAGCGCGGCCTTATTCCGATTTCATATTTTTTTATGAAACTTTGTTTCTAGTAAAGCACTCGTTGCTTTTTCAAGAATGGCTTCGCTTTCAGATGCATTGGTAGCGGAGCATTTGGTAGTGTATACCTCGCCTATGATGTGGACACAGGAAGGGATCTAGCCGTGAAGAAAATACCAATTATTCCGGATAACAGAGAACTGAGTCGCGAGGCGCAAGGACTAGAGTTTGACGTGCAAGAACTCGGTGAGTGTTAGTAGTGGTAAGTTGCCACCCGTGTCAAAGAACGGTAACCTCAACTGAGGTGCGCGCTCAATTCTATGGGTTGACGTGTAATTTGCTGTACAGCGATTCTGTTTGTGATGAAGCATCGTCGAAGATAACTGCCTCAAAATTCACTAGTTATTCGCCGATTGTTACAGAAAAGTTGATACCCCACAATCAGAGGGGTTGTACCGATATACTTCAGGCCGACTGCAACACCCGAGGATAGTACAGTACTTGGGAGTACAGAAAACTGCTGATAGGATTCTGATTTTCATGGAATATATGACAGGAGGTTCACTTAAAGAACATATAGCTCTAGTAGGAAGCTTGTCCGACGCCGTCGCGAGAAGACATACTGCTCAGGTACATTCTAGCACTTTCTTCTTCTTTCTTTCTTGTCAGATGATAAATTGTTCCAGTTGGTCTAACCGCAGATATGCTATATTTGCTGATATGAAATTGAGGTAGTACCATCAGATCCATATCCAAAAATTTAGGTATTGGAAGGTGTAGCGTTTCTCCATAAAAATCACATCATTCACCGTGATATAAAATCAGCTAATATTCTTCGAGATTCAATGGGTAACGTGAAGATAGCTGACTTCGGATCAGGGAAGAAAATGCAAAGTTTAGCAAGTCAACAAGGGGCTTTTCATAGCACTATCCACTATACTGCTCCAGAGGTAAGTAACACTCGTACTGTTCACATTTCCTTTCTTTATGTGAAAAATAACCATTTGACAGTCGCAATGTCTCAAGCGTGCTTTTTCAACAGGTTCTGCTAGGGAAAACGGCCTATGGAAGAAAAGCTGATGTGTGGAGCGTCGGAGTGACATTGGTAGAAATGCTCACCGGACAAGTCCCTTGGAAAGAGTTCGAACCTATGGCAGCTATGTTTCAGATCGCCTATGAGGAGCCGCGCATAGATGTGGGTACTTCATTGTGCATTAAAGGCACGCGGCACGCCTTGCGTTCAAAATCGGTGAATTGTGCGGCTCAAATATCTCGATTAGTGACGAGATAGCAGTTAACACGAAAGTGAAGAATAAAGCAGAAAAAAAAACTTCGAAATGACTCATATAGAATATGTTCAACCGCGTTTGAAGGTGCATGGGGCGAAGGGGCTGCTCGAACGAATTGTTACCCCTTGTCTTAGTCTTTTCCCTTATCACCTCACCCCTCACTATTCGGGAAGAACTAGTAGCAGAACAACCGTACTATCAGGAAGCCTCCAGAGTTGAAAGTTGGGCGTTGCGCTGGCCATTGGGGGGGGGACTGTGGATTCATCGCGAGTGGGTCGCGCTACTGCATATTTTTGAGCTGTAAAATAGTGTATCCTCCATTCTCGCGTGCAGGGCTACCATGTTAAAGGAGGGGCGTCAATACCAAATGAACGCGGAGTGTGCCTCTAGAAGAATTCGTTCGTAGTCTCACTAAGCAAGTGCAGCCGATTCAATAGAACGAAAGTTCTCATTGTAGTTACCGTCAACGGTTCACCCAATAATGGTTGATCTTTGCAAAGTTCTAATGAACAAGAACTTCGAAGAGAGACCAATGGCCGCGGAGGTACTGCTCAACCATCCTGCTTTCAAGTCCCAGTCATAAGCATTGCACATACTTTGTATAGAAATTGTTAGTATTATAGTGTTAGTTACTTTTAGAAAACTTGTAATCTCCCCTTCATTCCCCACAGTTAAATCCATTTCCAACTGTCTGACGTGATTATTGATTTGCATGCCCTCAAGAAATTGTTGTGGCTAACATCCTCCTTACGCATTACCGTCTTTTCAGAACTGTGATTCTATCCGCTATCATTTCTAGTCGTCTTCTGTATATCACTTATCACTTCTAATTTGGCTTTCTCGAAAATTCGACGGGTATTTAGTATGGAAATTTATGTATGAAATCTCGTATACACGGAAGTCTTGTATATTATGCAAACAATTTATTTGATTGACGTTCCTTCTTAGAGCTTCTGTGGATTGTGGCATTTTTGTCTAAATTCTAATTTTGTTAACAATTTCTGTTCCCACATATCTTTGCAATATACTGCGTGTGCTGCATCTTACTGTGATTTTGCTCAATGATGTCCTAGTCTTAATATCTCGAGTTCATTACAAATGATTAGATAAATTTATTTTTGATGATAATTTTTGTATTTAACTGATATGGTGTTCAACCATGCTGTATCACTGCTTAACTATCGCTAATTTATTGCACCCTGGTTAAATGTCTTGAGAATAGCGCTAAATCCTCATGGCGCAAGGCAAGCTAGAGCTTAAGGCAGTCGCGGCTAACGTAATCAGGCTCAAATAGAGTTGACACCATGATATTGGATTGTGGTTTAAGTTTTGACCTGCTGGAGTACTTGAACACGTCCGGATCCGTTTGGGAACAGTTCTAGGAGTATGAAGTGGCTTCTACTATGTTTTTGGACAGTCTTGTTAGAATCCATGAGGAATTTGGAGCTTACTGTCTAGCGGTGTCCGTCGCGGGACCTTGAAATAGGGTGCAACTTTGTTTTTCCTCCCTATTTGGCTTGAGATCTTGAAATGGGTGGGGCTAAAATGGAGAGCAGAGAATGGTTACCACTGGAGGGGTCAAAGATGACACATAAGAGGCGGTCTTATAGTCTCGTTCGCTGCGGGTGAGGGGGCGTGTCAGTGTGGCTGCGTTTGGTGCGTTGCCGGACCGTTCTTCACCAGTTGCTGACAAGGGAAAGTGACAGCAAGTGGTGGAAAACGACTGGTATATGGTAGAGTCTTGTGCGATATGATGCAGTCTTGTTGCTTGTTGAAAGAGAAAAACGGGTTGGCGCCGCGCAAAACGCCTCCGCGCTGGCACGCTTCGAGAACGAAGCCATACACACGTGGGGTAACGCGGTTTCTTCCTCGTCAAAGTCATGAAAATCCCAGATGCTTGATTATTTTTGTTGCTAAATGGTTGCTTTTGTTCTTCATTTCTAAGTATTTAGGCAATAATGGAAATGCTCGACACTTTGAGAGAAACAATAGCTACGGTGCAAAACGAAATAACGTCAGGGTTAGTGTTTAAGGTTTCGTTTATAGCTTTATCAGTTCTCAAAGCGTGAGTATACAGGCGGGGGGGGGGCAAAAAAGTCACTTCGACCGAGTCACATATCAGCTAAGTTTTCGCTGCCCAGACAGAGGACGTGCATACGAGCACCAGGGCGGAAAATACCCAAGATTTTCCTCCATAAGCAGGAGCTGACCCTCGCCCACCACCTTCATGTACACCAAAATATGAAGTCATCTCCAGTCGCAGCCTGACTGGAGAAGACCTTTGGAATTCATGTCACCTCCAAACAGCTGCGAAACTTTTAGTATGGAGTCACCCATGGGTAGCTACCTGGAGACCAGTACTTTCGATCTGGATGACCTCCAACATCGAGCAGCTCCGACAACTTCGCCACGGTCTAGGACACCATCTTCACCACAGCCGTCAAGGAGCGGGTTGATGGTATGGACCGGACGTACCTGGAATGGGAAGACCAATATTTTCTTCGTGGACCCCGGACATAAGGTGAGCGCTGGCGGTTACATTGGGCAACTCGTGAAGAATATCCTCCTCACAAGTGGTCGCCCGTACCTTCCTGGAAACTTTGCATGCTACAGCATTGGGTGCCGCCACATGAAATCGAAGGGAGTTGGAGAAACACTCGCCTACTTGGAATGGAAGGGGGCTGAGTACCTAAAGAAGATGGAATATCCAAGTAAGACACCTGACCTAAATACCCCCAATCACCCGGTTCAAGCGGAGTTCAATAGGGTGGTCTACGGTGGCGGAGAAATCGACCATCTCGCTGATCCCATTCACCACATCGCGGTCGCGTGCCAGAATCTCTCGATGGCGCTCGTCTAGAAGGTTGTGGCGGAGTGTCCAATGAAGTATCTGATATGCTCTTTAATATGGTAGTAAAAGTGTCCGATCAGAATTTAATAAAGTGTAACTTATAGCGCCTCGAAAGTCAATGAAGAAAAGTGACTTTTTTGCCCCCCCCCCCTGTATAGTACTTTCATCTTATTATGCTGCGCAACCCGCACCAGGACTTTTGATTCCTCGCTTTCAACACTCTTTTTTTCTTTCTCTTTTTCTTCTATCTTTCCTATGCTTCTCTCTTCTTGTCTCTTTTCGAACTCAAGTCCCACTTATATCACTCCATCATTCCATCAGTTCCAGTATATTCTAACATGTGCGCCCACGTGAAGATGGTGCAGTAGCAGACGTCACCGTTTGCGACGCTCATAGTTCAGTGATCAAATTCCTTTTCAAATCCGCTCAAACCTTGTATCTCGCCCTAGCTTCACCAGTAGACCGATATCGTCTTTAAAATGTAAACAGCATTGTTTTTGAGATATCCAGCAGGCTACCAGAAATCATCTCCTTTGTTCACCACTTTTCGTGGCCTGCCTGATGCCATCGTTTGTATTGTGCCTCCCAAAAACGGAGCAAGTTCATGTTCAGTGGTCTTCAGTTTGAGGACCTTCGCATCGAACATTTTTTGCTTTTCTCTGCCGGCTATTTTGAAAGAGAAGTTCATTATGAAGCGATTTCCAAAAATTCTTCCTGTTTTTCTTTTGGTTCCAGCTGCGCTAACAGCAGTGTTCTTGGTAGGCATCGCCTTTACTTGCAAGCTTAGAACTTTTTATTTTATAAGATTTCTGTCGCTCCTAAGTCAATGGAGCCGACCTACTATTTCTGAACTAGGTGCGCTCTTTTTGTCTGAGACCTCAAGATTAAACAAGAATCATCTTAGAGATAAGGTTATACTAGTACCCTATATATTGAATAAAATCATTGTGATATGACAGTGGCAGTCGAGAGCAGATGAACTCTTGCTTTCTTCAGGAGAAAAAAGAAAACACTGGGAAATAATCTGGTTTTTCTACTAACTGGTGATTATGTTACTCTCACAACGATTACTGTCCACGGGACATGGTCGATACTGCTACAGTTCGTGTGCGCCCAGGGCACATCATTGGTTGGGGATTTTGATCGAGTCTGTACGACCCCCCCCCCTTTTCTCAGGGGGTTTCGGGGGTTGGTAGGACCCCCCCCCCTCCCTTACAACCTTCGTGAAGCGAGAAAAATCAACTACCAAAATAAATTTTTCCCAGCCCATTCCCTATAGGGGATTCCCCAACAGCGATGTGCCCTATGTGCGCCTTGATTTACACATAGGGTTTTCTCCTATTTTTGGAGAATACGTTCTAGTGCTATAAGGCTTCTGAGTCCAGACAGTGCCGAGGAGGCTAGAACTTAATGTAGGAGCTATGGAAGTTCCTTGGTTCTTATTACTTTCAACATAAATCTCCGTGAGATTGTTCCGCCTAATGCAACCTGGGAGCAAGCCTGAAAATGGCCATATTTTCGCTTTAGAGTCTCTAGACGAGATTCGATTCAGACCTCCTTTTTAGACATCCTGTTGTCAAACATTGTATTGGTACACTGGCTGACTGCTTGTGAAGTACCAACTTACATCTCCGAAACTATGCTTTTCCACCTCAAAATCCACTTCTTTTAGTTTCCCGGTAAAGTACTCGCGAACCTACAATGCCTTCTTTGTCATTGTATGGTTGTTAGGGTTGTTTGAATTATGGTTGAAAGCCTCTTTTCTATTGATACTGCATTCCATCATTGGATATTGTCGCCGATGTGCTAATTAATCTCTTTTATAGAGTGGAACGACTTCGGTTCAACGTCTCTCCATCACTAGCTGCACAACAAAGGTGAATGGTCGCTAATCAGAGTTTTTGCTAGGAAAGATGCGTAGGAACAGAGAAAAGAAGGAAACAAAGAACTTTTACAGACTTTACATTCAAGGCGAATAGAGTAATGTAATGCTGGAAGAAAGCAATTATGTTCGGTTTTCGAGACATTAGAGGAACGCGTGGGGCAGGAAAGTCGAGATGATATCAGAGTTAGATATGAGCTGCACTACCACGGGCACGGTGTTGAGATAAATAGCCGCGTTTCGAATTCCGCACAAACTCCACAAGTTTTTCTCATAACATCTGCGTCTTTTTCGTTTCGGTTTCTGATCCAGAAAACGTGGTTGGACATAGTCGTGGCTGGCACCACTTGCAACGTGATGCACAACGACCAAGTTCATTAGGTAATTAATATTCATTTATTTTTAAAGAGAAGAAAAGTATTCGGGCTGATCCTTGTTTTATTAATTGCTTGTCACAAAGCAACTGAAAACGCCCATGGTGCATCCAACTCTCAAAAAAAGCTGCTAAGTGAGCTAGTGCAGGGGTGTACACCTGATGTGTAAAGTGGTTTTTGAGTTAATCAGTTTTTTCAGATAAAAATACGCAAGAATAGTCCAACCACTGCTATCTTTTTGTAGAAATCTTATTGGAACTTGGGATTCCCTATTCCCATATGAATGAGCACAAGGTCCATGGGGTTTAACGAAGTCGAATGATTTTCTGGTTATCTTATCCTTTAGCCCCAAGCTTGTGAAATGTAATATATCAGGTTGGCGGGAAAGTTCTGTCACTTTTTTCAAATTGGGCTTTCTTTTCATAGAGAGGCGTGTAAGATCAAAACTGTACAGCAATGGTACTGCGGGGTCCTTT